CCCGGCTCTTCAGAGCAAACGATTGCGTTTCAAACAAAACGCACGCGTTCACCCCACCCGTAGCGTACATTGAGAACACCCCACGTTACTATGCCCGGATAACAGTGACAAAACATCCCAATGCAGGTTGTAACGCGACTGGTTAGGGAAGATTCGCGAACGGAAACTCAAATTGTACTATTGGGTTTTGTCGGTAAAGTCACGTAGGTAAAAATAACTAATAAAAATAATATAAATAATAATAGAAATACAATAATAAATCACGACGTTTCGGAGGCAACACAAGTCTCCGTCATCAGGTGGGACCGTCACAGCTAAAGTTTACTGTATCAATTGTAAATTTTAGCTGTGACGGTCCCACCTGATGACGGAGACTTGTGTTGCCTTCGAAACGTCGTGATTTATTATTTTATTTCTATTATCATTTATAAAATTTTTACTAATTATTTTTTTTATTTTTTTATGTTTATTATTTATTTTTACCTACGTGACTTTACCGAAAAAACCAAAGAGTGTGAATCCTTGCAGTCACGAAAGCTTCAAATCTAGAACTCAAATTGTCTCGAATTCCATCGCGGCTCTACGAGTCGAACGAGTCCAAGACTTCGCTTACAGGGGTTTGCCACGCTGCGCTACGAACCAGGCAACCTGAGTTCGATTCCCCGACCACGGCTCGTGTCAGTATGCGAGTGATCTCTTGAACACGGTCCTGGGTCCCCAACCACCTTCACCAACCCGAACCAACCGGCGTGGTGAAGTATGGTCAAACAAGCACTCGTGACTGGCACGGCGTGCGATGTCTTCGTCCGGCGGTGGGTCGACAAGAGGCTGAACAATATCGTTACTTTTTAAGTTAACATTCCATTAGTTGGTAAACTATTCATAAAGGTAAGTGTCTAAGTGGCTGACACCTCTGCATGAGTGTGTGTTTCTGTACTTGACAGGCGTAACTGAGTAACACGACCCCTAAAGATATTCTAGAATTTCGATTTAAAGCTTTCGTGACTGCAGGGATTCATCTTGGTTCTTTCGGTAAAGTCACGTAGAATGGAAATAATAAAGTCACGTAGAATGGAAATAATTGTGGTCGAAACGTCGTGAGAATTATTTTATTATGTTTTATTTTTATTATTTTATTATTTCCATTCTACGTGACTTTACCGAAATAACCAAGAAGATATTCTAGAATATCAGAATATCGTCGCGTTTGAACTACTCACGGCAAAATCCGAAAACCACAGCATCCCAGTGTGGGCCGCCACAAAATTGGACCCACATCGGTTGATTGCTTTCACCTGGGATTTTTGCACACAGCGTTGGTGTACGATCATTTTTCTGCAATATTTTGCTGTCTTTTCTTGGATTTTCTGTTTGCACATAGTCACTATAAGATGTATTCTTGTTCATGTTTTTGTTTTTCGTTTGTTGCGGTTGCACCCGATTCAAGAGCCGAATGGCTCACAGGGCTATACCTAATAAATTAACTTGAACTTGAACCTGGCCGGGAGAGGGCCTAGCCTAAGCTTCCACATTGCTTTAACTCCCGTGCGAAACGCTCGCAAGGAGTCGAGACACCCCCTTCGTCATTCGCTTTTCCCCGCCGGGTGCGACGATAACCCCCCCCCTCCAGCAGGCGGGCAGGAGAGCGCGCTACCGCTCACTGCAGTGACTGCTCGAGTGGACGGGCGGTGGTGGCTTGGCTGTCACGTGGCCGGTGATCAGCCAGCGCCGTGGAGGCGGCAGCAAGGGTTGATGGATCACGGCACGCATATTCTTAGGTTTTTTTTTCGGTAAAGTCACGTAGGTAAAAAACATTAAAAAGTAAAATAAAATAAAAATCACGACGTTTCGGAGGCAACACAAGCTTCCGTCTTCAGGTGGTACCGTCACAGCCACGACAGCTGTATCAAGTAAATAAGAGATTGCAGAAGCTACCACTCCGTTTATATAAACGGAGTGGTAGCTTCTGCAATCTCTTTATATAAACGGAGTGGTAACTTCTACAATCTCTCATTTACCACCTGAAGACGGAAGCTTGTGTTGCCTCCGAAACGTCGTGATTTTTATTTTATTTTACTTTTTAATGTTTTTTACCTACGTGACTTTACCGAAAAAAACCCTAAGAATATGAATCATTGCAGTCACGAAAGCTTCAAATCTAGAATCACGGCACGCGTGTTTTGCTGAGCTCCCTTCCGTGGGAGTCGAGGAGGAGCTAGTTCCACGGCTCGCCAGGGGAAGGCGGTAACACGCAAAGCTGTGGACTCAGCCCGTTCCGTCCGAATGCGATAGAGTGTTTCTCCGAGCGCTCCGGTTTTCTCCCACATGTGTGAACACTCATTCATTGGCCGATCACACCTTGATATATAGAGGCCCGCCAGAGCTTGGGCAATTGTTGGCGCCGGGTCACGGCGCGGTGGCTTTCCTGCTCGTCTGTCGTTCCTCCTCGCGCCCGTGAGTCGATCTCTCTCTCTCTCTTCGAGAGTGAGTGAACACTGCGGCAAGTTAGAAGTTGACATTATGATAATTATATTATTATTATTACTAATCTGCGAGGGTGGAGCAGACCCACACACCTACTCTGGGATTTACACTGCACCCAAACTGCACGAGCGGCAAGAGATGTAATTAAGGGGATCATTAAAATGATCTTGACATTCAATAGCGGCCGTTTGCATTCAATTAATCATCGACATCTGCTACGCTCTACCCTCTGTTGGATGAAGGCCTACTAGGCTAGCCGGCCCTGTGAAGCTGCACGTGAGTTGGTCTCCACGCTACCTCTCCATGGTGGCCATGCTCTCTCTCCCGGACGCGTTCTCTGCTATTCTTTGGCTGCTATTCCGTCACCAGTCTCGTCCATGGGCCCATAGTCCCTTCCAGCCACGCGCCCCCCATCCACTACTTTAATTAATCTCATCGGCCTTCATTAACACCAACGATACTTAACAGCCAATATTGAAGATGTCGCAATTTGCGTTTGTTATCTTGATCTCCCGCGATCCTCGTTTTCCCTTTCTCCGCTCTCTCCTCTCTCATCCCGTCTCTCAGAGCAACTTCACTTGAGGCTCAAACACGCCGAGGCTCTCTGACACGATTGGTCTGCCCAGTATGGCATGAGCACGCTCGGGGTGCCGGTGCGCTGAACAGCACAACTTTCAAAGCAACGCAACGGAAACTCAACACAGGCGAGAACAAAAACATCTCTCTCTCTCTCCCCCCTCTCTCTTTCCTGCTCTCTCTCTCTATCTGTGCTTCCCTCCCTCTCCTGCATCTCCCCTCCCTCTCTCTCTGCCTCTGCCTTGTGGCATTGCTCAAGGCTGGCACTGGGGACAGGTAAACTGTGTGCAATCGGAGGCCGTCTCTGCGCACGCGCCCACACTGTACTGGCACGGGCAAATGCGTGCGAGCACAACTCCACGACGTATGTGTACGTCTTGCCACGTGTGTGCACACACAACAGACATTGCATCGGTCCATCAGCCTATTGGCGTCGCAGACCAATATTGTCAAGCAGCATTTGTTTGTACTGGCACAGAAACACACGCACGGCGCTACCTGGCCAAAGCCAACCCCCCCCCCATCCCTGGGGTGGTGGGCACGAGTTTGGAGTGGTTGCACGGGTGGATCGAAATCTGCGCGTCCGTCCAGCGGCGTAGCTCTAGATCGAGTGTGCAGGCGGTGCAACTGCACAGATCCTCCCAGGTGCCCACGCGCCTGACTACGAAGAGGAGCGAATTGGACCGCGGGGGGCGGGGTGGGGGGGGAGGCTCAATTTAATTACCAGTCCGGCACCTGGGCCCCTCCGGCTCGTGGCCCACGACGCGCAGTTGCACCGCCTGCACAACTGCCAGTAGCTACGCCACTGACAAATAACAACAAAACTATCAATGCTCGTGTAAGGAGACGTGTGCGCGTGTGCTTTTTTTTTCGTGCGCACGGTCCGAGGTTTGTAGCGCGTTCCGGCGCGCGCGCGCACACGTGCAGAGCGCGTGCGTGTCCCTTCACTCGTTCCCTTAATTCTCAACTCATGTATTGCCCCATACGTTCATCCGTCGATTCGTTCATCTTGTTCGTTCGTGTATTTATTGCGTCGATTTCGTCGCAACGCTCGCGTCAAGAACAGCGCGCGGGCGATGCGGAACAGCCCCGGCACATCAATTAGCCAGCGGTGGCTCTACATTGAAAAAAAATGTTTGAGGGCGTTGGCCGTGACTGGTGCTGGGTGTGCCCGCGCGTGCGGCCGGACGTCGGCGGCCGGCTTGAATGGAGCAGTGAGGGCGGCGGTGGTGGTGGTGATGGCACTCGGGATGCCGCCAGTCCGAGACCCTCTGATGAGGAAGAGCCCGCGCGCTATTTTTTGGGTGGGTTCCATGCCTCGGTCTTTCACTGCGCACGAATGTCGTGGTCTTTGACTGCGGTGCCCGTGGACTTTGACAAAAAATGGTTGCAACGCCACAGTCTCACGCCCGACTTCAACGCCACCCACGGCCTTTGTCGATGGCCACGCCACGGCCTCTGTGGCTTTCGGCCCCGGTGGCCCATTACTCTGAGGGCGACGGAGAGTCGAGCAGAAGAGCCGGGGCCGCCCAAAAACTTCACCACGTTCCACGCACGTTGCCTGGAACGTCGTCTCTCTGCCCCCTCCTCCCGCCCTCTCACCCCCCCCCCCTCTCTCTCCCCCGCACATCCTCATAATGAATCCATACCCCCCCCGTATCCTGTCCCATTTACCCCCCACCCACCCCCCGTCTTACTTTAATATCCCACTCCTCCCCCTCCCCTGCTTGCTGCATTCGTGATAATCCCTGCCCACTCGCCCCCCCCCCACACACACTACCCCCCCACCACCATCCCACCCCTCCCTTCTTCCCCCTGCGCCGCGCCTCCCATCCTCTAGTGCAGCGCTCCCGTGCCCACTGCGAGCCGTAATGGCTGTCATTTGCATACTTATGAATATTCATGATGCTTCGTTAATTAACTTAATTGTTTTCTGCCAGAATGCGGCAGCAGCAGCGACGGGCAGGCGGGCGGGAGGGCCTCGATGGCGGAGAGAGCAGTCACGGATGTGAGGACAGCCAAGAAATTCCAAGGACGTCCTCAGTTGGGGAGGGATTGGGGGTTGGTGGGGGGGGGAGGGGATGGAGGGCAGGGGGGATGGAGGGGAGGGGGGATGGAGGGAGCCGGGGGGAGGGGGAGCGGACAGGTGGGTCGGAGGCTTGAGCAACAAAAAATATAAAAAAGGGGCAATTTGATGTGAAATAGCTGTGCAGGAATTAACTTAATACTCACACACCCACACACACACATATATACATACACCGCACAAAGACAAAGGTTCCCTCTGTAGCATTGAGACGCATGGGGCAAGTGCTGTTAGCAAGCACCTGTGAAGGCCAAGGAGGCCCACGAGGGGTGTGGGTGGCCAGCACCACGCCCTGCCGCCTTTGTCTCCCCAGTGCTGATGTTGTTTACAAATCACACCAGGTATATATAGTAGGGAGAGACTGTGTGTGTGTGTAGGAGGGGCTGTTTGTGTGTAGTAGGGAGAGACTGTGTGTGTGTAGGAGTGGCTGTGTGTGTGTAGTAGGAGGGGCTGTGTGTGTGTGTGTGTAGGAGGGGCTGTGTGTGTGTAGTAGGGAGGGGCTGTGTGTGTGTGTAGGAGGGGCTGTGTGTGTGTAGTAGGAGGTGCTGTGTGTGTGTAGTAGGGAGGGGCTGTGTGTGTGTAGTAGGGGCTGTGTGTGTGTAGTAGGAGGGGCTGTGTGTGTGTAGTAGGGAGGGGCTGTGTGTGTAGTAGGAGGGGCTGTGTGTGTGTAGTAGGGGCTGTGTGTGTGTAGTAGGAGGGGCTGTGTGTGTGTAGTAGGGAGGGGCTGTGTGTGTGTAGTAGGGAGGGGCTGTGTGTGTGTAGTAGGAAGTGCTGTGTGTGTGTAGTAGTAGGGGCTGTGTGTGTGTAGTAGGAGGGGCTGTGTGTGTGTAGTAGGGAGGGGCTGTGTGTGTAGTAGGAGGGGCTGTGTGTGTGTAGTAGGAGGGGCTGTGTGTGTGTAGTAGGAGGGGCTGTGTGTGTAGTAGGGAGGGGCTGTGTGTGTGTAGGAGGGAGTAGCTGTGTGTGTGTAGTAGGAGGTTCTGTGTGTGTGTAGTAGGAGGGGCTGTGTGTGTGTAGTAGGGAGGGGCTGTGTGTGTGTAGTCGGGAGGGGCTGTGTGTGTGTAGTAGGAGGGGTTGTGTGTGTGTAGTAGGAGGGGTTGTGTGTGTGTAGTAGGGAGGGGCTGTGTGTGTTTAGTAGGGGCTGTGTGTGTGTAGTAGGAGGGGCTGTGTGTGTGTAGTAGGGAGGGGCTGTGTGTGTAGTAGGAGGGGCTGTGTGTGTGTAGTAGGAGGGGCTGTGTGTGTAGTAGGGAGGGGCTGTGTGTGTGTAGGAGGGAGTAGCTGTGTGTGTGTGTGTAGTAGGAGGGGCTGTGTGTGTGTGTAGGAGGGGCTGTGTATGTAGTAGGAGGTGCTGTGTGTGTGTAGTAGGAGGGGCTGTGTGTGTGTAATATGAGGGGCTGTGTGTGTGTAGTAGGAGGGGCTGTGTGTGTGTAGTAGGTGTGGCTGTGTGTGTGTAGTAAGGGGGGGCTGTGTGTGTGTAGTAGGGAGGGGCTGTGTGTGTGTAGTAGGAGGGGCTGTGTGTGTGTAGTAGGAGTGGCTGTGTGTGTGTAATAGGAGGGGCTGTGTGTGTGTAGTAGGAGGGGCTGTGTGTGTGTAGTAGGAGGGGCTGTGTGTGTGTAGTAAGGGGGGGCTGTGTGTGTGTAGTAGGGAGGGGCTGTGTGTGTGTAGTAGGAGGGACTGTGTGTGTGTAGTAGGGATGCGCTGTGTGTGTGTGTAGTAGGGAGGGAGGGGCTGTGTGTGTGTAGTAGGAGGGGCTGTGTGTGTAGTAGGGAGGGAGGGGCTGTGTGTGTGTAGTAGGAGGGGCTGTGTGTGTGTAGTAGGAGGGGCTGTGTGTGTGTGTAGGAGGGGCTGTGTGTGTAGTAGGGAGGGGCTGTGTGTGTCGTCGGGGGGGGGGGGGCTGTGCGTGTGTGTAGGGATGGGCTGTGTTTGTGTGTGTATGAGGGGAGCGGTATTGTAGAGCGGTTAGTGCGCTGCGCTACGAACCCGGCGACCCGAGTTTGATTCCCGCTCACGGCCAACACCAGTGATGATTATCTGAACCGGTCCTGGGCCTCCCCTAGGTCCACTCAGCCTCAAATGAGTACCTGGTGCGGTGTGAAAACATCGCCACTGGGGAGACAAAGGCGGTCGGGTGTGGTGCTGGCCACCCACCCCTCGTGTACCGTTCTGGCCTCCATAGGTGCTCGCTAACAGCACTTGCCCCTACAGTCTGCTAAGGCTATACGGGGGATCTTTGTCTTTGTGTAGGAGGGACTGTGTGTGTGTGTAGGAGGGATGGACATTCCGTGGTCAAGAGTTCAAGCACGTGTCTTGAGTGTCCGCATCAACCGTGTCTCCTCCGCCCTCTGCAGGACAGTCTTGGATTCGCTCTCTCTGCGTGTTTTTGTTTCTTGTTTTATTTTTTACTAAACAAAGTCATTTAAGCAAACACGCACACCACGAGCACGTGGCGACAGCGCGTGATAGACCCCAACAATTCGACTCGTGAACTTTTGCACCCTTAACCTTGAGCCGAAGAAACGCATCGGAAGATGACTTCACAGAACCACTGCTGAGTACCCTTTGATCGTTTCCCTCCCCCCCTTTTTTCCACACCGGGTGACGCTGCGCCCAGCTATAGAGGCATTCGTGGCAGTAAAACGCGAGACACCAGTTGGTTCCTCGGGACTGACATCCTTCACGTTTAATCGCAATCGTAATGATGAAATAAAAGAGTTTCGCATAGAAGGAGAAAACGACCTGATGCAGGCAGTGATGGGAAGGAAACTTGGCACTGTTAGGACACCATATGTAGGTTTGGGCAATAACAGCACAATTAAAAGTGTTGTTGTTGTTGGGGAGGAAATAGAAGGAACCGGAGAGAGAGGAAGACCTCGCAGAGAGTGGCTTGAGGACGACATCAGAGGTCGGTGCCAGAGAGACGTGGTCACTGCTTTGAGCAGATTGGCGCAAGACAGAGAGGAAAGTGGAAACAAATGACGAAATGTGCAGTGGAAATCTGCTAGGTCGACTCAGTACTCAAATGAGTGCATGGTGTGGTGTGTAGTAAACATCGCCACTGGGGAGACAAAGGCGGCCGGGTGTGGTACTGGCCACCCACCCCTCGTGTGCCGTACCGGCCTTCATAGGTGCTCGCTAAACAGCACTTGCCCTTACAGTCTGTTAAGGCTACACGGGGGACCTTTTTTTGCTTACAGTGTCGTCGTGGTTATCGCATTGTACTTCTCATTCGGCCGCCTGAGTTCGATCCTGGTTTAGTTTTAGTTTATTTCTCTTTGTTACCGCGCATAGACAGTTGCCCGGCTATTCTACACCGGAGATCCGTGGTGCTGTGTGAGTACAGCATCATCATCAACAACAACAGAAAACAAAATAGAAAAGCCCATCAATATTGCAAAGAAACGACAGGGCACAGGGTCCTGCAGGTGTATTGCGCAAACCAACACACGAGGTATTTAACGGTCGCCAAACGAAACACTCGCGAATCGAATAAACAGTGGCAACGTAAAGCGCGAGAGCAAAGAAGCGACAGAAAAAACGACGTACGTACCACTTTGGTTGGATGGGTTTGGTTGACTCAGCCCATCATCCCTCTCTCCGCGGTCGATAAAATTAATACTACATTGTGACGAATTTGTCATGAATTTCCATCAGTGGTGTTAAACGGAAGTTGAGCACCGACGCCGCAACGCTGATTTGAGCGAGAATTCAATTGGCTCACTTGAAAAGCAAATTCACGCGCGTGGAATACAAACCGCCTACTCCGGAAAAGCTGCCGTACAATGGGTAGGGGATTAGCTCACAACAACTGTTACATCTACGTGTGCGGACTTGGTCGGTGACTCCACTGCTGGATAAGCGCCACGCGGTCCGTGGAGATTATTTGATCGGCACTGCTGGTTAGTGCGGGACGGCGAACAGAGATGTGGGAGCGTTGGAAGGGCAGCAGCGCAGTATCATCATTTTGAGTTAACTGCGCTGCCCTCTGCTGCTCGCAACGGAGAAGAGTAGCATGGGTGGAGATGCACCGGGATGAGTGGAGATGCACTGGAGGAGTGGGATGGGTGGGGATGCCCTGGGGGAGAGGGATGGGTGGGGATGCCCTGGGAGAGTGGGATGGGTGGAGATGCACTGGGGAGTGGGATGGGTGGAGATGCACTGGGGAGTGGGATGGGTGGGGATGCCCTGGGGGAGTGGGATGGGTGGTGATGCACTGCGAGGAGTGGGATGGGTGGAGATGCACTGGGGAGTGGGATGGGTAGGGATGCCTTGGGGAGTGGGATGGGTGGAGATGCACTGGGCGAGTGGGATGGGTGGGGATGCACTGGAGAGTGGGATGGGTGGGGATGCCCTGGGGGGAGTGGGGATGGGTGGGGATGCACAGGAGAGTGGGATGGGTGGGGGATGCCCTGGGGGAGTGGGATGGGTGAGATGCCCTGGGGGGGAGGCTGGGGGCTGGGATGGTGGGATGCACTGGGAGTGTGGGATGAGTGGGGATGCCCTGGGGGAGTGGGATGGGTGGGGATGCACTGGGGAGTGGGATGGGTGGGGATGCCCTGGGGGAGGGGGATGGTGGTGGGGATGCACTGGGGGAGTGGGATGGGTGGGGATGCACTGGGAGTGTGGATGGGTGGGGATGCACTGGGGGAGTGGGATGGGTGGGGATGCCCTGGGGGAGTGGATGGTGGGGATGCCCTGGGGGAGTGGGATGGGTGGGGATGCACTGGGGGAGTGGGATGGGTGGGGATGCCCTGGGGAGTGGATGGGTGGGAATGCCCTGGGGGAGTGGGATGGGTGGGGATGCACTGGGGGAGTGGGATGGGTGGGGATGCCCTGGGGGAGTGGGATGAGTGGGGATGCACTGGGGGAGTGGGATGGGTGGGGATGCACTGGGGGAGTGGGATGGGTGGGGATGCACTG